TAGGGAAATGTACCATGAAATGTCACAGAAATGAAGGGAAATTAAAGAGAAGTGTGCAAGGAAATGAAGGGAAATTAAAGGGAAGTATACCAGGAAATGAAGGGGAATTAAGGGGAAAATTCAACCTATACTTACAGATATGTCGGGCCGGTTGCCTGCTCGTAGGCGCAAACGTGCCACCTCTTCGCATATCATGTTCTCCTCATACCAGGAGTAAAATTCGGGCAAGAATTTGATACGTACCATGATAACAAATAATTAAAAAAAAGATGTCGATTCGCCATCTAGCATCAACAGTATGAACTATTTTTGCTACCAACTTGGGCATTTCCTCACTGATGGCGCTACTAACTAAATAGTTGGTAATTATTCCTGCATTAAATAACTATTCATAAGAATGATAAATTTGACATATCAACTAATGCATTGTAGTGTTATAAAGCAAAGAATCGTATTAATTATCCATTTATGTAAAATAAAAACTAATTGAAAAAAAGATGTGTTTTAGTGGCGCCGACGGTGGTAAAACGACCAAGTTTGTAGTGGAAATAGTTCCCACTGTTGCTGGTAGATGGCGCCACTAAATACAGGATCGATCACTAAGACTGTATTAAATAAATATCCATAACAATAACTGAATATGACATCAAAACTAATATACTGTAGTATTATAAAGCAAAGAATCGTATTAATTATGCATTTATGCAAAATAAAAACTAATTAAAAAAAATGATGTTTTTCAGTGGCGCTATCTTATATAAACGGTGGAAACTATGTTCACTACAAGCTTAGGCATTTTCCCACCGATGGCGCCACTGTTCCAAACCCACTGAACTATATAGTTGATATATATAGTTTATTGAATATAACGATACACTAAGGTCCACCTCATTACTACATAGTTCAGTGGGTGTCCATAATACGGTTTTGAGGTTCAAGGTTTGAAGTAGTTAATAATTGAAAACCATCAATAGCAAATACAATTTATTGAAGATAGTTTAATTCTAATGTCATCATATAATTAAGCGTATTTAATAATGTTTGGAAAGAAATAGTATTCGATTCTTTTTGACACGTTGTACTAACCTACTTCGTCATTTCATCAAGCCGGCTCAACCGAGTTGTAACGTATGTAAATTAAAATAGCAATAAGTCTGACAGTATTCGTTTTCTATTTCGTATTATACGGAAACTTATATAATTATTAAATTATTAAAACTATTGGTTATAACGATTTTAATTACGCGACCGCTAACGTTTTTTAATGTTCGAATTTTTTCACTCCGATTTGTCGTGGTTTCTTTGATATAGATTTGTCATTTTAATTACAAAGACACATACATTGTATTGATGATAATAGGAAAAATAATTAGTTTATTAACTAATTTAATTAAATATTACAGAGAAGATATTTAAAAAGAAAAGAAAGGGTAATGTTAAAAGATACACCAATAGCAGTCACTAGGGATATGTGGTCAAGTAAAGAGTAAAGTAGCAAAAGATTACTGTAATGAGTGCCATGGGATCAGATGTGCAAGGCTCTCTAAAAGAAGCCTTGTACGAAACATTAACTGGAATTCTGTCTCCACATCGAGAGACTCGTCAGGCAGCAGAGCAAAGAATCCAAGCATTAGAAGTTACAGAGGAATTTGGTATACATTTAACAGAATTTGTGGTAAATCCCCATGGACATTTACCTATAAGACAATTGGCTTCTGTACTATTAAAGCAGTATGTTGAAACACATTGGTCTTCCGTGGCTGAAAAATTTCGCCCACCTGAAATAAAGCATGCCACAAAAGAAAAAATCAAAGAATTACTGCCTCTAGGCCTTCGAGAACCTATTAGTAAGGTAATTAAAAAATTTGTAAAAATTCTTGTTGTTTTAATCAATTTAATTATTTTATTGTGAATGTGTAACAATTTCGATTCTAGGATTGGAGTCATTCTCAGTATATTTGATTTGAACAGGAATTATAATTTAGGGTTTTACAGTCCAAAATAGTATATACTTGTAATAAATTGATTAGATCAAGTAAAACAACTGATGAGATTTTCTCTAACGCAAACATTAACCAATGTCACTTTTTAGGTCATTTTCATTTACAGTAAGTGTTCTTTCTATTTCAGGTACGCACAGCTGTGGCTTACGCGATATCAGCCATTGCTCATTGGGATTGGCCAGAAAATTGGCCGGGTTTGTTTGATATACTTGTTAGTTGTTTAAGCGGAGAAAGCGAATATGCTGTGCATGGAGCAATGAGAGTTTTAACAGAATTCACGTCTGATCTTACCGATAATCAATTGCCTAATGTGGGTCCAGTCATTTTACAAGAAATGTACAGAATATTTCAAAGCGAAAATGTAAGTGCTATTTTTTAGTAACTTTCTTCGTTATAATAATTATTATTAATGTATAATTACCATTTATTTATGTTTTAGCAATATTCTATTAGAACTCGAGGTCGCGCTGTTGAAATATTTACAACAATTACGACACTGGTCGCTGCTACAGGCGTGTATCAGAAAGGATTCACAGAGCAATACCTGCAACCAGTTATTCCCATGTTCTGCGAAAAGTTTGTTCAATGTTTAAGAATGCCTGATGGTCCAACTAGTGATAGCGGACTTAAAACTGACGTTATCAAAGCTATAAATTGCCTTGTTACTAAGTTGCCCAAGTACGTTTCAAATTTCTTACCGCAAATGTTGCCACCTGTTTGGGAAACTTTAACGCAAAGCGCAAAAATGTATCAAGAAGGAACTGTGAATGGTGACAGAGAAGAAAATGACAAAGAAGTCGATTCGGATGGTGAGTCTCGAATTTGGAATAATTTCATCTCCATACATCGATAATACAATACGTTCTTACTCTCTTCTAGGCGAAATAATTAATTTCAACAATCTGATCATCGCGATATTCGAATTCGTTCACTCTATAGTGGATCGTAAAAGATTCTCGAACCTCTTAGATAACTTGTTGCAAGAAGTGATGTATTATCTAATAATATTTATGCAAATAACTGAAGATCAGATCGAATTGTGGACGACGAGTCCCAACCAATTCGTCGAAGAAGAGGACGCGTTCGCTTACAACGTCCGTATTTCCGCGCAAGAACTCTTAACGGTAATTATATCTATAACTAGACACGAATTTCTATTAGAGAAGTAGATTGTTTTATCTTAATTTTGTACACAGGCGCTTGTTAATTATTCCGAAGAAAAGGCAGTAAATGCTCTTTGCGAGGTGGTCACGCGTCACATCGAAGCAACGAGTAGATTGCAAAGCGCAAACGATGGTAGTAAGAACGAGACATGGTGGAAACTATGCGAATCTTCCATTTTGGCCTTAAGTAAAATAAAGGACGCTGTTGTAGAGAGGCATAAGGCTGGCATACTTCAGTTCGATATTATTGGATTTTTAGATACAGTTGTTTTAGCTACTTTAAATGATTCAGGTATATTGACACTTCAAAAGAAAGTTTGTTCTCTCTATTGCTCTATACGTATAAGGTGAATGACGCTATAACTTACCCATCCTATTATTTCTGGACCTTTCGTATCATGACAAAAAATGTTAATCAATCCAGGAACAACGAAATTAATATGGATGAACAAGTTAAGTGGTTCACCTGATATACCATTCGATCCTTATTTTAATTCATGCCAACCTTAGAGGCACCCCCGTTACTTCTTGGTCGTTGTTTATGCGTCGGTGGAAAGTATGCAGAGATAATGCCACCAGAAATGAGTTCACGGTTTCTGGAAGCAACTGTTAACGGCCTACAAGAAAATCAGCCCGCTTGCATCCGTATTAGCGCGGTGAAAGCTATTTATTGGTTTAGCAGAGCGTCAACTACGGAAACAAACAGCACAATTGCCAACATCATACGATCCCATTTGCCAAACATATTTCAAGGACTTTTCAATCTAGCTAATCAACCGTCCACGGAGGTTCTGACGTTGGTCATGGAAACTCTTCAAGAGTTGATTACGGTAATATCGACCTCGTACAATTTTTCGTGCGTTTTACTACATCCTTTTCTATATTTTACTCCATTATCTTTGCAGTTGGATAAAGCATTCACTGCTTCAGTGGAAAGTAAAATATGCCCCTTAACTATAGCAGTGTTCTTGAAATTCTTTAGCGATCCAATGATATTGACACTGTGTCAAGACATATTCAAGAGTCTGACTCAAAATCCCGATTGCATAGGACCGTTGCAGACTCGTCTCATACCAACGCTGACAAGCATGATGGCGATACCACCTATGGACAAATCGAAGGATGGTAATAAGGATGGACTTGCAGAATTGACTTCATTGCATTGGTTTGAGCCGTATTTATAATTCTTCGTTTGTTATCAGAGCGATGTCGAGACGTAGCCTTGGACGTCTTACAAGTCCTGGTGCAATATTCACCGAGACCATTGAGTAGCGCTTTGGTCGAAACTGCTTTTCCTGCGGCATGTCATTGTATTCTCAATTCAGAGGACAACGAGACGCTGCAGAGCGGTGGCGAAGTGATACGCACGTACTTGTCCGTCGCGGCTCGTCAAGTCACCATTCACCGAGACAACGACGGCCAAACGGGTTTGCAGTACATACTGCAGATAATCGCTCAACTACTGAATCCACAGGTGAAGCCTCCATTGCGTCTTAACAATATAAATAATTAATTCTTTCAAAAATAAAATGCATGCGATAGGAGGTTAAACAAATCTCTAACGTGTTCGATTTTGTAGTCGAGCGAGTTTACCGCTACTTTTGTTGGTCGATTGGTGACAACCTTGATCAGGAGAGCGGGTAACACTTTGGGCGAGAATCTAGATCTGTTGCTGAAGGCCGTGCTGAGTAAAATGCAACGAGCTGAAACGTTGACCGTGGTGCAGAGTTTGCTCATGATTTACGCTCATTTGATAAACACGGAGTTCGACGCTGTCCTAAACTTTTTGTCGACGGTGCCTGGACCCACGGGACAGAGCGCTCTCGCGTTCGTTCTCAGCGAATGGGTCAGCAGGCAGCATCTGTTCTTCGGCAGATACGATCGCAAGGTGGCGACTGTCGCGCTTTGCAAAATATTGGAGTATGGCGTCACTCACGGCGACAGTAGACTAAACGAAATCACCGTTAAGGGAGACGAGATATTTTCAGGTTCGCGTGCTTCACGAATTACATTCATCGTTACATTCATCGGGGATTATGCTAGTAGAGTTTCATTATTATCGTGAAATATATCGATGTAGGGGTTATGTCCGCGTTAAGGGGATAGTCTGGTTAGAAAGGATATTTTATAGACATATATATATATATATATATAGATAGATATCGAGAAAATATTTATTCCAAGAATCAGCGAGCTATTAAAATTCGAAACTATACGCAGGAAACGAAGGCGTGAGGACTAGGAGCAAAGCCGAATCACAGCCTTATCAGTGGACCACGATACCGGTTCTAGCCAAAATATTCAAATTGATCATTAACGAGCTAGCGAACGACATCGAAGCGGTTGCTGCGAATCAGGACACGGATGTTAGTAACGATCTAATATTTATTTAACAATCAGCAGGGGGTAAAGCAGAAAAGTAAATTACGTTTAATGCGCAGGAATCCGACGACGACGAGGAAGATGACGATGAGAACGCATTCCTAGATCCGGGCTACGAAACCATGTTGCGTGAGTATGGGCGTTGAGCGTCGTTTAATCGATCTGTAATTCACACTATATATAGAAGCAATAGTGACATAACACGATGAACTTTAATATTGTCAATTAGTATTGGAGAAAGCTGCGAACGAAGCAGAGGAAGACGAGGACGATCCAGAGTTGTTACAAGATTCCATTTACCATTTGAATCTCAGCCAATATCTACGAGATTTCTTGCTGAACTTTTCGACCCATCACTGTTTCCCAGCGTACGTTCAGCACCTGAATATCCCGGAACGGAAGATTCTGAGCAGTTTAAATATCAATACGTCGTTTATGTCATGAATAAATAGATATATTGATGATGAAATTTTTGATTTTCGTAATAAAATATGCGATTCTTCATACGCTTTTTGTTCCATCTCGAATCTCTGACGCGATTCTCCGGTAGACATGTTCTTCGTTGCGATTACTATTTTATAAATACTTAACAGGAGAGACACTTAATAGTTTGTTGCTGGACAAAGCGGTCGATACAGTTGGTCCGTGTTCGGTACAACTCTGAAATGTTTCGTGGATAATCGAATTGTTTTTTAAGGATCGATCGTCCATTATCCAATATTCGTAGAATTACGGTCGTCTTTCTCGCGTCACGATCTTCGTTTATACACAGATTATACATCGATACATTTATTGTACATATCTACACAGACGTATTCGTTCTATTCTTCGTCCACAGAAAATGTTTCGGTTCGTGTAAAATAATCTACATACATTCATATGTATACATATCGTTATGTAATAAATATTTACAACCATTTCGGGTGAGTGTTCTTGGCGACGTTTCACGCTAGATCAACCTCGACGACTCCGTTACGCTTCAGCTCGTAACGTAACGTCAAGTCAGAGTTTTCGTAGCCCGAATATTATAAGATAAATCGTTTGGAACAGTTAAGACGAGTAGGAGCATGTCGAGTGGTTATTTTACGCGCACATCTACACACGTACCGATCAAAATAGTAATCGTAAGGCTGGTAGACATACAAATAGGGATGGGCAACATGTATCTCAGAAAGTATTTGAACGACGAATACCTTACTCATTTGTATTCTGTTCATACTTTAGTACTCGTACGTGTTTACTTTATTTTGCATTCAAATAAATTGCGATCGTGCATGTACGGTATTAGTTTGTATATCCACAAATATATACATTGTAAATCAATTAGCAAATTTCTTAAATATTTCTAAACAATTACTAAAGCATTTAAGAAACTTCTACATAATTGACATTATTTAAAATTTATTTATTCGTTCGTAATAAATAATTTAAAGCGTGAATTCTACACTAATACCATATATACGCAACCTAAAACGATGGACGTTTTATTCGATCGGTGAAACTGTATATCAAGTATTCTTTACTAATCATAGATCGAATACAAAATACGAGACAAAGGCTAATCTTCAACCACAGAATATAATGCGTTAGGTCGTTCGTCGCTTGTCCTAAGACCTGAAAACGTACATTTAGTGTCTCACATGCGTTTTAATTACAAAATCATTCGAATATGCCCACCCCTGTATACAGTTAGGAAAGGATCGATTGGATATCGACGAGATCATTTCGCGAGAATCCGCGCAACAGCGTAAATTTCACGCCACGATCGCGTTCAGACCGTAGTGACGGAAAGAAGACCCATCAGCTTTCCGCCGGGTCCAGGTCCGCCCGCGCCACCCACTCTGTTTCCATGGACCAACATCTCCTGGACGGTGGTGAAATCGTCCAATGTGTTCTTCTTGCGAGCCATCTTCTTGTGGCTCAGCTCGACGATGTTCAATGGTTTCTTTACGAGCTTCTCGTCCGCGTGGTCGCAAGCGAGCAGATCGTTCGTCTGTTGCAATTGGAGCTGCTGCTGTTGCTGCTGCTGCAACATCAGCTCTTGCTGCCTTTGTTTGCGCTCCCGAGCACGTTCCAGCTGCCTCTTGCGCTCCTCTTTCGTCCAGTACCTGCCGATCTGAAACGCAAAAATGACACGGCTTTCTTTTTCTGTAGAGATAAGATTAAGCTACCGAGCTAGGTTACGCGGAGCATTTCATCCGTAACAAACATCAAACCTATCATTTAATTTACACAAATTTCTTCTATAGACATAGAGGGTACCAATATTTATGAGACTGATTGTGTATACTGTATGTAACACTGTATGTATATAATTGTATGTATTTACAGTCAATTCCATAAATAATCGTAACCTCTATGTCTATTGAAGAAGTTTGATTAAATTAAATAGTTTTGATATTACCAAATGAATTTTTGATTATAAATATGTGTATGAATAAGCTTCTACATGTATATATTTATATATACATCAACATATTTATACAAACATATATTTGGACATATCAAACCTACTATTTAATTCAAACAAATTCCTACAATAGACATGAAAGTTACATATATTTATGAGACTGTGAATGCGAATGACGTCAATGCGTTAACTTACCTTTATTTCAGACATGGTGTCGTCCTCGGTGCTATGCCCAGCCCGCTCCTCGGATATCTTGATCGCCCTGTTCCGCAGTATACGATCCCTGACCGTTCTCCTAGCGATGTACCTACTCCCATCCGCCCTCCTCATCACCTTCCACTTCATCTGCACGTCGTTCCCCTTGTCCTCGGGTTGCGCCCACGACGTAGACGTGCACACTTGCTGGCTGCCGACGAACTGATAACGCGTCAGATTCGGCGCCTGGAAGTTCCCGTGGGACTTAGACTTCTTCGCGGTGCTGGTTTCCTTCGGACTGGGCGCCGCGATGGTGGTGGTGGTGGAGGTGGTGAGGTTCCTACGGCTGAGGGCCTGCTTGAACAGCTGCTGTTGCAGGAGCATCGTTTGATGAAGATTGGCCATATTGGTGTACATAGTGTCGGCGGGCAGAGCGGTGATGGTGAGGTTCGTCGTATCGCGATCCTTGTGATGGTGGGAGCCGGAGCCACTTCTTCTGGTCGTTTGGTTTCTGGTTTGCTGTTTGTTACCGGATGCGGGACAGGTGCAGCTGAGCCGCTGCTGCTGCACCGTCGTGGGGGTCTTCGGAGGGCATAGGACCAACGTGCTCCTATGGAGATCCTTTCCGCTCTGGTGGAGCTTCAACGTCAGGGGGTTGCTGTTGCACGATTCGCCGGTGTTGTACGCGCTCGAGCTGTCCTTCTCCTCGCCCGAGCTGTTGCTCTTCGAGGATGAATGCCACCTGGTGGTCTGATTCTGAGCGTTCGTCATGGTCGACACGGTGGTAGTCGTGGTGGTCGTGCCGTGATTGGCGTGGTTCCAATGTTGATGCTCGTAGGGGGATGAGTAGATAGGCTCGCTGTCGGACTCGGGTATGGTCTCGTAGATGTGCTCCGTCTCGCTCCACACGTGGCTGGAGTACGCCTCCGTCAGCTTGACGGTGGACGTTTGTTGGCTACGCACGGACAGACCTTCCATCTTTTTCGAGCAGTCCTTCACGGTGTCCTGCAACCATTGCTTTCGGTCCTCCGTGTGATGCGCTGGCGAGGAGGCGTTTCTACCGGATTTCTGCGAGGTTTGCGAGGAGCAGGTCGAGGAAGACGTCGTGGAGAAGACCGCGCCAGAGGATTGCTGTTGCTGGGACGTGTGCGAGGGGATGGGAGGCGGCGCTTTAAGGGTGGAAGTGTTGTCTTCCGTTTCTTTGGTTCGTTCTTCTGTTTGCTGCTGCTGCTGCCGGATCAGCTGTTCGATCAGGCTGTTCTGGTATGAGGGCAGGTGTTCTGGCGACATCGACGGCGATTCCTGGACAAGATGGATCGTGATGGTCGATTAAAAAGGGAGATGTTTCGAGAAGGGCGAGTTCGGGGAAGAAGCTAAAGATAGAAAACTGATAGCAGGCTGCAAAGTTGTTGGAATCGTTGACGTTTTCTTTCTGTTTTCAGATCCGTCAAGCAGAGTAATTGTTCAGAGGTGGCAGGGACGAGACAAAGGACAAGGTAAGAGGTTGAGCAGAAGAAAGGAGAGGGGGTGGGTTAACCGTAAGCGACCGTGAAGTGTACGACCCTTTTAACGGAGGAACCATAGACGTAAGAGGGTGCGAAATATAGATTTAACAATGATATTAATAAGAGCAACGTATACAGGAAGACAGACATTAAATCGGTTACAATGAGAGCAGTTTAACACGCTGACTGTCGTTCTAATTCGTACACGACGATCTACCACTTGATGTTGTCTACGAGTAAATGATACCACACATTTACCAATAAGGTATTCATTGAGGGAATCGAATACTTAAAGACAAAATAAATAACAAGTACGTGTTGGTAATCATTTAAAATTTTTCGAAAAACATTGCAACTGTGAAAATATTAAATAAGTAATTAGCAAAGCAATAAGTAACTTGGAAAATAAAATAAATGACGAGTATTGGTAGTCGTTCACCGTCGAAACTCTTCGAAAAACATTCCAACAGTCAACGCACTAAATCACGATCCAGCTGGAAGTACCAAGGACTCACCTGACGATACGTTCGCCTGTCGTCGAACTCGTCATCCTGGAACAGAGTTTACGAAACGTTTTAGTACACATCGGACCAAGATAAGGACGCTCGAAGGGGAATATATTTACCTGATAGAGACATCGACTGACGAGAATGGTCACCGCGCTCTTCGTCTCGGCGAACAGGTTCTCCGTCTGCTCTTTGTTCGCCACGTCCCTCCCGTTTACCTGAAACGAACAAAAGTCGCGCATTGGAGTTCCCGGTGCTGGATTTCAGACGTGTTTTCAAGCAACGATCTCGCGCAGCTGATAAACGTACCCGTCACCTTCTGTCCCGCGTATACTAGGATGATTCTTAGCTGTGAATAGTCGACACGTGTGTTTTTTTTTTTCTTTTTTTTAAGGGAATATTTGATGTAGATAAAGTCGAGATTCGTGATATGATGCGTACCGTGGTCTTGTGGGAAACCGTGAAACCTCAAGGATCTTGTTTTCCTTAGGGCTGGAGTAAGATTAGTATGTAAGCACGTATTCCTTAGGATGGGACGAATAAACATTCATTTTGGTGAATAGAGTAATTGCGTACTTTCAAAAATTTGTTTTCTACCATTAGAGTTGCTTGTTAAACTGACATTTAGATGGAGATGAAGATAATTAAGATACTTATATTTCCTCATTAAGAAGAAGATACTTAAAGGGGTGTTCTGATTGAATAGATAATACTAATTTTCCACAGAATATTCTTTTATTCAAAAATTCGTAAGTGCGATTTGTTTCAGATACGTAACCCGTTCTTGAATTGATTTAACCCTTTGCACTCGAGAGGCGAGTCTTGGTCGCCGCTAGGTTTCACGCAGCAAATCTACCAGCAATAACGTTTCTGTAGATTTACTTTCTTTGGAACTCGAAGTGTCAATAAAATGACAATTGGGCTACATCGTCGAAGTCGATCTAAGCTTAGCATTCGTGGCAATAGAATGCTGAGAAAGCATCTCGTGTTGCTGGTAGGTAGCAGAAGGAAAGGCCTCGAGTGCAAAGGGTTAATATTTATTGCGAAACAATTTTCAATGAAAAAAATATAAATATATAGTTCCAATCTTGCCTGACATTACAGAAGAGTCTTGTTTCAATATTCCTTATCGTTTCGACGAGAAAAAATTTTAGAAAATCGACTGTTTTTCAGTCGGTCAAACCAGAACAACCCCTTAAGAACGAGTATATGGGGGTCGACTGTTGTCGGTGCCCTTGGAGAAAAATCGCCGATTCGAAAAGACGATGACTCCGCGCGGAAGGAGTTCTCAGGCGGCGCGAAAAGATATCCCCGGGCAGACGGTTCGAGGGAAGAAATCCCGGGGACGTAGCCGCCACTCGTTTTTCCATCCGATTTCCCTTAAGTCGACCACTTTGTCCGTAATTACAATCCGTCTAACGAGATTAGAAGGGTAGCAGGTCGGAAGGAAATCGCGAGGAGGAAACGCGACGAGCTCGTCTAACAGGAACGCCTAGTCCTTTCTCGTAATCGAATCAACCAGTTCGATTCGTCGACGACGACGACGCCTACTACTTACAAATTTCTTACGGTTTAAAGCAGGGATGCCGCGACGTACAGAATCATCTGGCTGGCGTCTGGTTAATGTATACGAAAGTGGAAATATTGTTTTCGTTCGTTTGGGTACAAGGGTCAACTAACAATAATGGTCATTTGCTATGAAGTACAGCAGAGCTCCGCAAACGCTGTGCCGGGTGATCTTGGGTGTGCCGCGGTGATTTTCTCGAGAATAAACAAACTTTTTAACCATCACGTTAGTTAACATTTTTTTAAGCCATGTACTCTTCTAATTTTTTGCCAACATGTAATTTACCTGAGTTGAAATTATACAAAAAACAAAAACATGTAGTTGCCATATACTATACGTGGACTACGGATCTTTATGCAAAATAAAATCTTCGCGAACATGCCTACAAAAATTGAACCTAAATAGGAATTTATTTTATTCTGCAGATATTATAACACGAACTTTACTTTCAATCTTTTTTATATTCTTGCATATTGTTTCCGTTTCGTAATTTCCTATAAATGCATAAAGATCCGCAGTCTAATTATATGTATGCTGAAAGCGTCAACACCTTTGTGTCCGATTGACGACGCACTTTTGTTAATTAACTTCGATTAAACGGGCATAAGTAAATACCGAACAACAAACTTTATATTTAAATTTATAGAGGACATTTTTTTTACGTGTTCTGCAACTACACATTTTTATTCTTGTGTTGGTGTACAATTCGAACTGTTTCATATGTATAACATTTAAATAAAAGTAAATATCTACATATATAGAGCTATTTCATCGTGTTTTTTTACTTAATAAAACATATACGTATTATTGTAATTTATATCTCATTGAAGCCCAGAATAAAATATGCAAAAACAAGGATGTGTTAGCCTACCAGGACTTATGCTATCATGTACAATTTGATACTACAATCTACTACAATCTGGTACAAAGAAAGACGACTGAATTCGACAGTAATCTCTAAAAGATCGAAATTTAATTTGATGTGGAATAATAAATGATTCAGTCGTCGCAGCAGTAGCCATGTGTAATAAGGTCCAAGAGTTCTCTGCTTGACCTATAACGCGTAGGATCCGAGCACCCAATCGATATCGCGTTATATTCCTCCCCTTCTCGAGTCACGAGAGGCTCGAGTTTTATATTCATGCTATTCATTGTGTCTGAGTAATTGCGACGCGACGACAATGCCACGTCAAATATAGAATATCATTCTGTAATAAGATTTGTAACAAAAGACAATTCACCAGCTGAAATCGAACGACGTTTCGATAATGCTTGAGGTGATCCCTTAGCATCGTATTACGCGGGTACAACAATGGGTGAAATTGTTTTGACGAGAAACGATAATCAGTTTCTTCGTCCTCGTATTTATTTTTAGAAAATTTCTTTTTCATTTCAGGAAAGTCTCGGCGAAAGATGGGATAGAGTCGGTTCGAAAATTGCAGTAACAGGAAAACACTAACGGTGAAAAGAATTGCCCAGTAGCAGATATTTAACACTAAAATCTACGACATTTCACTTGTACCTATTTCTATCATGAATAGTCGAATGACTTGTTTCAAATACACCTTTTTTAATTGAATGGATAAATATTTCATGTGATATTGAATTGAAATACATTAAAAAAATAAATCGATATGATGTAAGGTGTAACATTAAATTAATTCAATGTTTTTCTTTTCCTCTATCAATGTATTAGGTTGTCCCAAAAGTTTCTTCCGTGACTCGCATTCAGTTATTTTGTGTAGCAATGTTTATATAAATAGACAACCAAATTTCTTAGATGTTAATGTTGTAACAGTAATGGAGCAAAATGAATCGTACACAATTCAATAATGTACCATTAGACATAAAATATTGTGTATGTATTACTTATTAATGAAATGGAAGAAACTTTCGGGACAACCTAATATCAATTGTTTTAATACGTAAAGCAATTCTATATAATCGCTATATCGAGTACAAGAACTGTACAGAAAAGTTTGGAAACGATCATTTGACCACTCGTGGCATGTTTAGTGTCAACGACGAAGAGATTGCCACGAGAATAAATCTCTGTGGAATAACGAGCGAAGAGCTTCGCTCCCAGAAACATCTAACGTCTGAATAAAGTAAAAATAACAAGATGAGTGCCGAGAAATTCTTTCTTTAAAAAGTTGCGCCTTGTAGACTGCGTTAAGAAGCTTTCCGAGCTTCTGAAAAGCTAGGCGAACTGAAATTTTAGCGTCGATTGTGACCGGGGGACAAAACCTCGGTGCTTTATTGTAATCCTCTTTCGAAGCGCGACTCTATGGAACTGTGTTGACCTAGGGAGACTTGTCCAAGAAAGGCAAAGTCGGTCAATCCAAGAGGAAAGTAATGGCTACAATTTTTGTTCCGTACCGAATATTTACACTGAAGTTCCTGAGACAATCGCAGGGATGCAAACGGCGAACGTTAACACTTTATTTATACCATTCTGACTCAATGTTACCACTCTCTTTAGAAGCAGTTTAATTTAAAAAGGAAATTAGAAAAGGATTTTCTATATTGCTGTACAGGGTGAGGTACCCAAGACCTGAATTACTTGGCTGTTATCGGTGATAGGAAAAAATGCGTTAGATCAAAATTATTTGGTTTCGAGGGCCTGATCATCCTATGTTACTAGTTTTTCGATAGATGGAGGCGTCAAGGAGATACGAAGATCATCTCTGTTTTTTTTTTTTTAAATGGAACGGTATGCTTTTTGACTTACATTCTGATAGAATATTAGGTGTACAATTAAGTTCGGTGCCTTTACATATATTCAGCTGTAATTACATTTCAAATTGAAATTTTTTTCCCACCGATCGGTGTTTTCAGATATTAACTTGTGCCTCACCTCGTATACTAATCCAGGCTAATTTCCGTATATTAATTTCTGTATATTTTGTACGACAAAAGATTTATCTATTTCCTTAAATTAAGCACTGTAAATATATGACCAACAATATAGTTAATTAATTCCTGCAAATTTATCCTGGAATTAAAAAACCTACAATATAGCTTGCAGGTACATAAAGCGTTAATTAATGGAAGCTATGAAGAATTCAATAAAGCCACAAAAACTGCTACATAACAATTCACGTTGGATCTCCAAAAAAAAAATAAAAAAGAAAAACTATACTGCACCTATAAATGACTTCGTGCTTAGTACTTTGTTAAGGGTAAGTTTCATCAAAGGTTCACTGTCAACGTTAAACCCAATATTCCTGTATCTATGTAGCCAATATCCCATCGATAATCGACTTCATGGTCGATACTCTTTCCAGGCCTCATAAAGGTTCAGCGACGTCAACGTTAAACCCCCATTTTTCCGCAGCCACGGAGGTTCTACCGCGCCGATAATCGACGTCGCAGTTAATACCATTTTAAGGAAAGGTTTCAGCTCGGTTCCTTATCTAAATTTCGCCTGTCTGGCCACGGCACGTAGGAGGTGATAACTCGCTTACCCTTAAGATTTGGTCGCCTTCCCGCAGGCGGCCGTCGCGCGCCGCGAGACTTTCAGGAACTATTTCCGAGATATAAACTTCCGTGTCGGCGTCCTCGCTGCCCGAGCCAGAGCTGTAGCAGACCATGAGACCCAGTTTCTCGGCGCTTCCACTTTTCCGTAGCGTCACCTCCTGCAAAAATCCCGTTTTCCTCGTTACGCCTCCTCCCCATCCTTGGATTCCTCTTTTATCAAAGTTTTTAGACTTTCTCCCCAAAATACCGCGCGTTACAAGACCTTAAGATTGATCGATGGTTGCGATGGAAGACAATTTTCGGGCGTGATGACCCATGGAACTTCTATAGATGAACCACAGGTGTTTGGAAAGCTGTGCATTTACAAACGTTGAGATCAATTGAGCCCTTCATTGTACAAATCGATTGTCTCCATAAAACGAAAAGTTGAGAAAAGGGATGGAATGATGTACATTTTTGTTTAAAATTCCCTTTGTGATACAAATTCGAATGAATATTGTAGTAGTAAGAATACGAATCGTAGACTCCTTGTTCTTTGAGTATGAAGCACTTAAAATAATCCGAGAATAAAGCCTACAATACTCTCTAAATTACTAATAAAAAGAGACCATCGATGCCACAGTAAAATACTGAAATCTCGGAGCATCTCCACCGATTGAATAACAACAAAACTTAACCCTTTACTTACGGAATTTCTCAAAAGTTTTTAAAATCTAGGAGTCCATATTAGTCTTATATCATCTTATAGAGTTGTTTCTAACAAGCTTGTGATGCCATCCAGCAATTAAAAACGAACTTCATAGAAGTGGACTCGAAAGTCACAACAGGCCTGGGAAAATATTTGAGCTTCATGCTCTATAATTTAAAAACATTTACTTCTTAACAATTTACTTCTTGAATGTGTGCAATTAATTAATACTACAGTGCAATACTTTCAAGGACACCCTGAAAACTCCCAAACGCGTTTCTCGACTATAGAGACAAAAAGAGCGAGAAGTACGCGAGAAGGTGCAGTTAAAATAGTTGTTGGTGCCTAACCTCGATCGTTTGGATTTAAAATTGCGAGATCAGAGAGAAACGAATACCTCGAAGTCGATGTCGTGCGCGAGGAAGTCCTCGAAGCTGTCGTTCGCCTGCTCGTCGACGCCTAGGGGCTCTGGCATCAGTTCCTCCTCCTCGAGGAGGCCTCCCCAGTCGGTCTGCACAGCTGTCGACACCAAGGTACGACACGCTACGACCTTGTGATCCTTCTTGCTCACGTCGTTCGTCCTTTCCTCGATCTCGTTCTTCTCCTGGTCCTTCCAGGTTATCCGTTGTCCCATCGGTTGCCGTCGTACGACCTCGACGATGATTGGCTCCTGGGCGGATTGAAAGCAACGCACCGCATCTTCGTGGCTGGAGTTCGATACGTCTTGCCCGTTCACCTGGAAAAGAAACGAGTGGAATGATTAGAAACGTCCTAGTTCAGCTGTCGCAGTTTTTGTTTATCGCACGGTGATCCCCAAATCGATGTCAGTCGATTTAACGCTAGGTTTTGCGGAGATTTCAGATTTTTATTGGAGAAGTAATGGTTTAATAAGTGGAGTCGATAAACTCGTATAAAGACAAATCGAAAACGTGGAACACAATGTTTTTTTCACGCGATGTTTCGCGTTGGCGAAAAATGGATTCGGAAAATTCATGAGGTACGACGCGCCATTGAACGTGATTTGACTAATGTCTGACCATTGCTCACTGTTTCTACTTGAATCGAGGTTTGTAAATGCCGATGGTGGTTGTGGCAGGATTTAGTTCTCCTCGATCTCTCAATTTTTTATCCAGCTAGACCCCATCTAAACGGATAGTCTTATGCAGTAGTTAAAGTTTGGAAATTTAAGTAGAATGGGCAAGCAATGGTCAGACGCGTCAAGTCACAGTTCAGGGGAACAACTGAATCCTCTGTTGAATCCTCGATGTTATTGATGAGATTGACTCACCCAGAGATCTTTTTTTAGTTCTAGTCGTGTTAATATTTTGCAAAATATCCAAGCAGATTAAAATAAAACGAGATCCAAGGAATGTCCTGAAAAGGCCAATTTTATCAATCTTTACAACGAGTCTCTGAACTAATAAATAATTCTTGGATCTTGTAGATCATTTCTCAGAGAGTTTTTTTTTCTAAGCAGACTAAAATAAAACGAGATCCAAGGAATGTCCTGAAAAGTCCAATTCAATCAATCATCAAATCTCTAAAATAATCGGTTCCTTCAGATCGTTGCAAAAAGCCCTCTGGCATCGACCACGTCTCAACTCTCTCTCCATTTGTCAAAATCTCTCGATATCTCTGGTGAACGACGTACGAACGAGTGATCAAGCGAACGACCAATGGAACAACGTGGACGAGCTCTAGGCTCGCGAAAACCGTCGCTCGATGAGTAATTAGAAGATCGGAGGAGGGGGTGGAGGGTGGACAGGGGATGGTTATTGGCAGAAACCGAGTCGTTTTAATGCGACGCAAGTATTAATAGACGCGGGGTCAATTGACGTGAACGCAAAGGGAAACGTTGAGAAGAGCGATCCTCCAGTGATATTTGAATGCGAGACGGCGCACCGCGGGCCGTTCTTTGACGATTCTAGGACAAATTTCGCTGTTACGATCCATTAACGGAATTACAGACGATACTCGTCGCTTCATTCTTTTTTTTCCACGATTTGCGGAAACGAGGGTCATTACGTTATTTACTACCTTAAACGACGGCTGTTTTCAACGGGATTCAATGGAGACTTCTATGGAGCCTCCATAAATGAGAGTTGGTCCTGTATTTACTCAAAAATCGGTATACAAGTTGTTCAGTTGGTTTGTTGTGGGATTGCATTGAGATTCGATGGTTGGTGGCGATTGAAACGTGTCGATCCTTTATAAGTTCTCCATCAGGCTACTTCAGGCGTATTTAGGGGTACATTTTTCTTACAAGTGAAACGAGACTTGGAATCTAGAGTTTCAATTTTTGTCAAGCTGTGTTAGTAATATGCCCAGAAATTTGTTGTTAATATTACTATAAGGTATTGTTAGCTCTCAGGGCATTCGATTAACCCTTTATAGGTCACTGGTACTCATTGTCACCAACAAGGAAGGTGCAGGAATTTCATAGTTTTAAGTTTTTACGCTGATCCACAAAAAAAAAAGTGGAAAAAATAACCAGTGAGTTCTGCCTCATAAAGGTTTAGTAAGAATATTAATTGAATTGAATCGTACTCCATTTGATTCAGTTAAAGGAGAATCTGAATTGGTTTCTTGATTTAATACCGAGTATTATAGGAATGAATTTGCATTGATTTTTATAGCTGAGTATTTAAGAATTATTTTTATAAGCAATTTAATTACTTTAATGTTTCTTGGAGCAAAATTTTTTTCTATAACATTTATTTTAATTGTATATTTCATTTAGTTTCTATATTTCACGTATCTCTTGTAATTTGAATACGAGGTGTTTTACCCCGAGTTCGGTATGATAAAACAATGTTTATGTGTTGGAAAAAGTTTCTTCCTTCCTCCTGTAATAATATTTAGACAATTTCTTTAGAAACTGCATCGTTCAGAATTTCTTTACAAACTGGAGTGTTTACAAATTCCACGGGAAACCATTGATCGTACCTGGACAAACTCGGTGCACCTACCTCCATAAAACGACCCCTTCTTAAACAGAATCTCCACAGTCCCGTTCCTCGTGGACCAGAGCTACCACCGAAAAAATCGATGGATTCCACGTGAAACCCATCCATCCACCTCCCCAAACAAATTTAGCGTACCTATCTCCGTAAAACGACCCTTCCCGCCTAAACAGAACCTTCGCAGAAGCTCGCTCCTCCACCGTGGTTCTGGTCCCCGATCCCACCGATCCGTTTCGTGTGAATACACCCCCGAAGACGGGACACTCACGGAAGGTCATCGAGATCTTCGACGGGACGCTTGGATGCAGGGGTTGCGAGGGGTTCGCGGGAGATGGTACGAATCGAAAGTGGTGGGACGTCGGATGAAGAAGCGGGCGACATAAGGCGCGGTGGGCAGGGTGGGGAGGGGAAGGGGTTGGGTGCAATGTTGATACGTAAACGACACGTTTTTCCGAGCAACGGTCCCACCTACGACGGTAATTACGATCGTCGTCGTCGTCGTCGTCGTCGTCGGCGTCGTCGGCGTCGTCGGCGTCGTTCGGTAGTCGTCGGTGTTCAAAGCCCGAGCACTTCAGACTTCCGTGTTTACGGAACGCGAGCGACAGCTTGACGGCTCCCTTTTTTCTTCCTTGTACGCGATTCCTCCTCCCCGCTCACCCTGCTCGCCGACTGGCTCACAATCCGCGCGCTTTGCCGTCGGAAATGCCTGCCTGCTTCACCACCACCTCCCCCCTACACTCCTTTCTCCACCCCCTCCCGCGCCTTCTCTTATCCCCTTACCTTTGCCCTCTTTACATTCTCTCACCCTCTTTCGCCACCACCTCCAACCCGCCCGTCCTTTTCCTTCGCCGCCTCATCCCTTTTCCCGGTTCCCATTCCCTTTCCCTTTCCCTTTTCCTTCTCTCTCTCTCTCTCTCTCTCTCTCTCTCTCTCTCTCTCTCTCTCTCTCTCTCTCTCTCTCTCTCTCTCTCTCTCTCTC